TAAATGACACTAAGCATTACACATGTTTCACATTTAAGATTAAATTAAAGTATATAAAATTAAAGGGTAAATATTGTCTACTCACTTATAATAAATCCAAATGGTATTTCAGAAACAATTATCTTCTTTTTTTTTTTTATCTAATTTGGAAGTAGTGGTTAGAAGATACACTTTGCATCCGTTATAATAATTATCATCAATATTACTTTTATATCATTATTATATATGTCATTAGTATTATTATTAACAATAATTTTTTATGTGGATTAGGATTGATAAAATATATCTCACATGATTAAGTATTTAATCTATTATTTGAATATATTTAGGTTGGATTGATAAAAATTAAAATAATATCATTTTATTAAAATATATACATATATTAAAAAATTATATAATATTACTGTATTTAAAATATTTTTTAAATATAAAAAATAAAACTAATTTTATTTATATAACTTAACTTTCAATTTATTTATTTTACATTTAGATTTTTTTCTTAATCACGTTAAAATAACTCGTTGTCCCGATATTGAATTAAACCAAATTATTTTACCCTCTCATAGCAATATTGTTATTTATAACACCGTACAAATACTTTTTTTAATTAATTTTAATGTGATAGAAAAAATATTTGACATATTTTAAAATGAAAAAATAAATAAAACTCATTATTAAAATTAAAAAATCCTTTAAAACTGTTTATAATATTCAAAATGGTAGAATAGTGATTTTGAATTCTAAAATGTATGAAAAGATTTATTTATTCTTAAAATTAAAATAAATTTAAAAATCATAAAAATTTTATTTTAATATCTTATAATTATTTTCTATTGTAAAAAAATTTCTACATATTATTATTAAAACATAACTGAATATCTTTATATTATAATAAAATATGATTATATATAATGATTAAACTACATTTGAATGATAATATAAAAAAATTGTTTAAAATTTGAATGATAATATAATAATTTGTTTAAAATCAAAGATAAATATACAAAATAAAATTTATTTTTATATTTTATTTATTGATTTATTAACATTAAAATGCCAATTAAAAATATACACATTAAAAAAATTATTTAACCATTAAAAGTTATAAAATTTATAATTGAAGATCATCTTAAACAAGCATTTTATAATGTAACAAAATAACTCTGAAAGTGTGATTTTAGCAATTGTTATTTGTAGTCATAATAATAACTCTCAATAAATAATAATGTTTGACATGAAGTTTTACTCAACAACCACAATATAAGAAAATAATTTTTCTTATATGGTATATCACATGAGTTACTATTATCATTATTTTTTGGGAGTTTATATTAATTCTTCAATACATAAAATAATTTTTTTAGGAAAATACATAAATTAATTTACATTTTTCACACCAGTAGAAATATTAGTATAAATTATCAATCACCGAAACATTATATCAAAATTTAATAGAAAGAAGTTTTTGGGCCATGTAATACTAGATGCTTGCTCACAAAATGCTTCATCCTCGTTAATAGTAGGTTTCGTTAAGAAAAACAAAATAAAAAGAAAACAAGTGTAAAGAAAAAAAACAAGGAAAAAAATGTTATATAATTAGTTATGGTGTGCTTTTTATTTACTTATTTATTATTATTAACTTATTTGTTATAAAAAAAAAAAAACAAGGTTTATGAAAAATACAATTCAAGTCTATCATAATCCATCATAAAACTTACATAATTATGAGAGTTTTGGAAATTTAAACTTCTTTTAATTTCAGTCATAACTATTAAATTTTACCCTAAGTAATATATATATATATATATATATATATATATATATATATATATATATATATATATATATTAATATTGACTTGACATCCTATTATTTTAAGTTTATAATATTTTTTTCCTTATAAACATGTTATATCCTCAATCGCTTACAAGTCCTCGAGATGTATAAAGAATTTGCTTGATTTCACAAATAAAACGAACTAATTAGTACACAAAATTTAAACCGAATGACTAAAAATTCAATTAATTAAATGATAAATATACTTTTTTAAGTTACTGCTGTTGTAATACAAGGATATAAGATACTTATATTGTAAACTTATTTTTACTAAATAAAATAAAAGAATACATTTTGTTTCCTTTTTAGTAAAAAAAGAAATCTCTATTTCTTTTATTTTTGAATATTTTATTGTCACATAAAACAAAATTAGGTTAGGTTAGGAACGTAAAGGGTTTTGATATTTATATTTATAAAGGGGAATGGGACCATTTTCAATGCTGAATTGTTGTAAGTTGCACCTAGTCATTCTCTTTCAATTTGTGGGGTCTCCAACAACCACATTATAAGAAAATAATTTATCTACATAAAACGTTACGTGACACCTAAATAAGAGAAAAAAATTATAAATATTTTAAGTGACATGAATATGATAAGAACAAATAGATAAAATTTGTAGATATTATTTAAATATTTATTGATTATAAATGTCCGCATATCACCACCTTAAAGCATATTATCCTTATTTTTCATCAAACTTCAAATTTCGATAACGTTTTTCTATTTCAATATTGTGATAATAAAATTATACCAAGTGAATTTTACTATATTATGGAAAAGGAACATTGTAACTCCAACCAATAATAATATAAAATAAATAAATAAAATTTTATTACAATCTTTAAAATGTTTTGACCCATTGTTTTAAATGAAAATTGAATTTTTATCTGACTTTCGATATCAAAATTTATCACTTGAGCTATTGAGAATAAAGTTTTATTTTAAGAAAAAATTATAAAAATAATAAAAGTATATTTTTATGACCTATCCTCATAAAAAGTAAAAAAAAATTATTTATTAAAATTTATGCCAACCGAGCACACTCATTTTCTTGCATCTTTTAAAAAGCAAGTGTGTTCTGTTCTAGCATGTTAAACGAGATTCCAATATTTCCTTTCTTTCACGTTCAGTTCTAACAAAAGTGCGAGACATCGGAAAAAAGAAAAAAAAAACACAACAACAACCATTTCATTAAGCATCAAGTTGGGCTAAGACTCCTCAATTAATGTTTGAGACTGTTATTGTTTATGATCTTAATAATTTTAATGTAATTTGAAAAAAATAATAATACTTAATATGTAATATATGTTAAGTGAATAGTAACAAGAATCATGATTTGATCGAACTCAATGTTTTTTTTTTAATATTCTAAAATATATATATATATATATAATATTTATATTTGTTTTTTATATTCTAATAAATTCAATAGTAATATATTTTTCGCAACATTTTTTGTCATTGAACATACACAAATCTAATTATTGTTTTTAGGTAAAAGAATAGTAATATTTTTATAACAAACGTATTTAGTTAACTAAAATATATAAAACATTTAATAGTTACTTTAATAAGTAATTAGAGAGTATAACGCTTATTATACTGGTATTTTTATTTATGTAAAAATTGGAATAAAAAACTTTAAATTATTAGAAGAACATGCATAATTACTACTATACAAACGCAGATTATTAGTAAATTACAGTTTAGAATTCAAATTGAAAATGAAATTTTGGAGTTTGTTCGTACTCACATAATTGCAATCTTTGTATTGTCTATTCTCACTTCCTTCCTACGTATTACCTTTGCTCAGAATTCCGAAGTCAATTCTGGCAACCAAATATAAGAGTTGTGTTTATCGCTAGATTTAACCTAACACGCACAAATTCACCATAGTCTTACACCTATATTCACCTTCCCCAATTCACCTTCTCTTTTAAGAGGATTTGCGGCATCTAAGTCTTAATAAGTTTTTTTTTTTTTTTTCCCATTGAATAAAATAATACCTATCTGTGTTAATATTTTTTAGATTATTAACTTTTTAAAATACCTTTTTTCACTCTTTTTATTCGTGTCACACTTTTTATTTCCATTATTTATTGGTGTTATACATTTTTGTTTATCAGTTCATTATACATATTATATATCTTCTTCTTCTCTTTCCCATCTATTTTGATGCATAATATCATATAGTAAGTTAATAAGTCTCTTCATCACAAATATAATAAAAATAATTATACTCTTTATGTCAAATTATGGTTTTCAAGATTAGGTACATAAATAAAAATAAGTATTAATTTTTATTATTTTTAATAAATTTATTAATTTGTTATCAATATCTTTTCCATCTTAATATTCTCTAAATAAAAATTACTCATACTAACTTATTATCATCTCATAATAATAAATATAATATTTAAAAAATATAATTAATAAAAAATAATTAATATTATATTATATTTTACAAATATAATACAAATAATTTTTTCCTATCAAAACCTCAAATATTTTGAAACATATGAAGTATTTTAATATTGTTTGATAAATGATACAAAAATTGTTAAAAAATCTCTTTATATATATATATATATATATATATATATATATATAAGTTTAAATTTCAGAAAAAAAGAAAATGAAATTATTCAATTTTGTTTATTATTTAAATAAACCAATCTAACTTTATTTATTTATTTAACGGTGTAATTCCTAAAATATCATTCATCAATAATGATTTTATTTTCACTTACTTTTTATTAATATATCAAGTTTTAATTAAGGGAACTTATTTATAAAAAAATTGAAATATTGTTTGTAAAATTAATCGAGATGTCGATTCGTATGATAATATTTATTTTTGAAGTGTTTATATTTGACTTGAGAAAGAGTATTTATGGTAATTCTTTAACGATTTCCATAATAGTAAACCCATCCTAAAAATTATAATTAATGTTATTTGACAATTAATAATGTTCTTCATTTAATGAAAAGTAAATTACTAAAATGAATACCAAATTGAATTGGACAAAAGCACTAATAATATTGATACTGGAGTTAAATTATATCCATTAAATAAAGCTGCTTCATAGAATAACTATATAAAGGAATGCTACAATTATTTATGACATTTACATAAAAACATTAAAGCCATTAACTACAAAACAATGGGGCATGGTGGAAATCCACCTGGTTACAATAAATTGCTAGCAGAAGAAAACTATAGCGATCAAACTTTCCTGATTTATGCCAACAGCTACGGACCAAAGCATTCAACGGCTGAATTCAAATATGATCAAAATTGTGTCGTGGAGGCCCAAGAAGTCGACGAAACCAAGATGATATCTTCAAACGAGTCACTGTCGCCAAAACCTACGACAACCATATCAAAGTTCAAACGCATTGCAAACACCCTTCATTCACAACTACCCCTCCTCCAGAGCAGAGGAAGCATGTTGTAACTTGTGCCAGTAGTTGGAATTTACCACCTTTCCGTTTTCCAACACAGTAAATACAACAGTCCTTTTCCTCGAATCAAATGGGAGCAACACAGTCCAAAAAGTCCCCCATTTGCGCTTTATTTGTTGCATTGCTCCATTTGTTTGTGCATGACCTATCATACTACTAATACTCCTGTGCATTGTTGCAACTAAACATTCTACACCAAGACAATATTTATCTTTTCTTGCAACCAAAATGTCAAGAGCTTCTCCTTCCAATATCTTTGCCAGAAAATTCTCCATTACCAAAGGTTGCGGCTGCTGCAGTAACATCCAAACCACCACCGATAGATGTCATGAGTGCAGATAAGCCCCCACCAGAAGCCATCCCTAATCCTAGAAAATCAAGAGTTGTTTGTCTAGGACCAAACATTGAGGGTGTCCCCATCATCAATTCCTTCAGTCCAGAACCAACATCACATGGAAGACTAAGTCCAGGCCCTGAAGGAACCGAACCACTCTCAGATTCTAACTGCTGCTGACCCCTTTGCAGACCATTTTGCTGCCCTGATGAGGTTGAAGCTGAAGATGATGACACAATGCCAAACCCGCGCAGCAGAGAGGCATTTGTGGCTGCACAACCCATTTGAGCAGCTTTCTGCAGCAATGCGGTGGCTGACATGGCCGGTTGAGGAGTCGAGGCATACCGCCGGTGCTCCTGCCCTCCTGTTGCGAAAATTGGTGTGGCAATACTGGTGGAGAGGCAAAGAGATACGGCCTCAGATGAAGAGGGAACTATGATATCTGCAGGGTGATCTGGAGGCCCCATGGCTCTAACTAAGTCACTGAATGCTGGTGTTTGGGATTGTATGGTCCCCGATGATGTTGAAGAAGCAAACAAACTTGCAAACACACTACTATTGCTAATACTATTACCGGTAGCACCACCATTGCTTGTTGAGCAGTTGCTACTGCTGCTACCACTAATAGCAGTAATAGCTTGTGGCTCTTCAATGGCTTGTGGGGAATTATTTTCTGGAAACTCTGAAAACCGAAACAAAAAATAAAGAAAAGGAAAACAGCAATAGCATTATTATAATGAACTATTATTAATTAAATAGGAAAAAGAAAGAAGATCAAAAGCAGCCAATTGAAAACGCAGAGTCAGAAAGTTAAGGCCTTTCTTTTTAAGTTAGATTAAAAGCTAAGAAGAAAAGAACAAAATAATGTTTTTTCCTCTATTAAAACCAACTCCACCCTCCTTTCCTCCCACCCCAAAAAACAAACAATTATTTTCCTCCTTTTAGCTTTGAATCTTTGAACTTCCCTTGATATCAATTGCACAATTCAGAGCCCTCAGTCCCAATGAACACCTTTTTAAGTTGTTAATTTTCATTACTTAATTAGCCCCTGGAATCTCTGATCACTTCCTTGTTCCATCCTTTTTATCACACCAAAAAACAATACCAGACAAAAAACTACTAACCTCCAAGCTCACATTCACTAAAAAAAAATAACAAAAACAAAAAACATGACTTTGATTTTATTGTCTAGTTTTAACCACATCACACGCGACAAAACCAAATACATCGCATGTTTTCCCAATTAAGGTATTAATCATCCAATCTACCTATTTTCTGCGTCAGCACACCAGAAGATATGACGCTATTTGGCGGCGCTGGGGTGGTGGTAGTAGCCGCCGCCGCCTCATCCGGAGACGGCGGCGAGTCGGTTAAAACCTTTGAATCACTCTCCGAATTAGCCTTGGCAACAACAGTGTGAGATCTCGCACTTTCCTCCGCCAACGCATCGCAAAATGCTCTATGCGTAATGAAGCTATCCCTCCTTCAAATTGCAACAATCAAACAGAGCCTTAACAAAGAGAATCCAAAATCGAGGGAGAGAGAGAGAGAGAGTAAACAAGAGATTGAAAAAAGAACCTGGAGAAAACGGTTCCGCAATCGCACTTATACTCTCTAGTGCCGCAGACTTTGGAGTGCGCCTTCCAATCGGACTGAACGGCGTATTTCTTGGAACATTTGTCGCATTTCCACTTCTTCTCACCGTGCTTCCTGCAGAAGTGCTTCTTGATCCCCGTTAAGTCCCCCAAGGCTCTAGAAGGATCGTGGTGCACGCACGTGGATTCGGGACACACGTACACTCTCTTCCTCACCTCCTTGGTAGACCTCTGCCTCAGCTTCCACGGCAAGTTGTGACCTCGCCGATGAAGCTGCAGATTCTGGTCTCTCTGAAACCCTTTGTTGCATATCTCGCACACGAACCGGTTCGTCGCCAACAGCGTCTTCGGCGACAAAGCAATCACCTCTGCCTCAGGATCTGGCAAAACAAACCAAATAACAATAAAATTAAAGAGTGATCTTTTGTTTGATTTTGTTGTTTGAATTTTCCGATCTGATTGAGGCTAGTACCTGGCATGCCAGGGAGGCTTCTTTTTTTCTTGGGAGCGGGTTTTGTTTCATTGGCAGAGGAAGAGATGCTTGCTTCCCCTGAAGCCATGGAAACGTTGTCCAAATCAACAGTCATGGAACCTAACTCTGTTCACAAACTTCGGGATGGATAAAGTTTTGGTTTGGTTTCTCTTTAGGGCTTTTATTCTCCTGCTACTTACTACTACTACTCTAATATCCACCGGTCAACCTGCAGAGTTTTTTTTTTCCTTCATTTATTTAACTTGTTTCTCTCATTTACCCTCACCACCTCCAATAATGCCACCAAAATTAACCTTAAAACGGAACAATCAACGAGAATCCTTAAACCAAGTCCTCTTAACAAGTTCACACGCAAGTAGCTTCTGGAAACACTTTTCAGTTTTCACACTTCTATTCATTTTTTTATTATTTACTTCTCCGGAGGTTAACTTGGTGGTATTTCCAAAATCGGAAAGGAGGGAGCGATAAAAATTAGATGGCGCGAGTTTGATTAGTTAGTAGTAATGGACAGGGTTTAGGAAGGGGATGTTATACATGCATGACTTTGTGGTAGGACGGTGAAAAAAGATACAAAGAGGGAGAAAAAAAAAAGGGGGGTTTGTGTGAAAGTTCGCATCGTGCACTCTTCTACTTGTGGAGGCAAATGGTGAAGTTGGAAGAAGGCACGCATGCTGTAGAGAGAAAGTTAAGGAGGAGTGTTTACTTGAAGTTGTCGTTTAGTGGTTTGAGTCTTTGCGTAGTTTGAATCCGTATTCTGTAGAAACCGACAGAGACAGAGTATTTGCGGAACAATGAACATTGGTAACAAGACAAAACAATTTCTCAAAGGAATACAAAGTCAAAGAACCCACGATGGTTTTACAGTCCTTTGCGCCACTCTGAATTTGCCACGTTTCCTTTTCCTTCTTATTATTGAATTTCCATTATTATATTCAGGGTGAGTAAGGCGAAGCAATGTAGGGTGGTACATGGCAGAGTTTTGTCTTTTCACCGTTGGATATATTAATGAAATAAATGAACGATTTAGATTGATGAAAACTAAGAATTTGGTTACTTTCTTGCGATTTAACCATTGGGTAATCGTATCATTCGAATCGACCTCCAAAGTTATTAGAGACGTGAAAACGGACACTCAACCTTAGTCTGTTCTAATATTAGGATCAAATAAAAAAATTAATAATGGATTTATATTTTAAAATGATTAAAAAAATTTAGTTAGTCAATTTTTATATTAGGGGTAACAATTAATTTTAGTGGAATTGAATTAAAATATATATATATATATATATATATATATATATATATTTATACAAAATTAATTAATTAAAAATATATTTAAATAATAATAAAATTTTAAATTTTATTAATAAAATTATTTTTTATAAGAGAATTTATCTATTAAATCTTAAATTAAAAATTAAAAATTATTTTTATTACATTTTTTTAATTTTAATAATTTATTAATTTAAAATAGTAATTAATTTTAATTATTATATTTTTAAATAATTGATTATTAAAGTTTTATTATAATATTTATTGTTATAAAAGATGAATTTTTTATAAATTAATTTATAATATCTATATTTTAATAAAATAATATTATTTTTACTTTAAAAATAATTATTATTTTATAAAATAAATAAATTCATAAATTTACAAGTTAATATAATTTAAACTCATATAAATTATAATCTACATAAATACATCAAAAATAGGTCTGTCTTAATTTAAGTTATAAATTTTTTAATTTAACATATTAAATTTTTTTAGTTTTTCGGATTATTTTATCGAACTAATTCTATTTTAACATTTTATCATTAATGTATATTTATTTTGTTGAAAAAAAAACATAATATAAGGAAGAAATTGAAAAAAGAAAAAGAGATTAATGAAAAAGAAGGAAAAATTATTTATATATATTTTCTCTCTTAATTAATTAAAACATTTTCTAAACACAGTACCACATATTAATAAAGGTATTAATTTTAAAAAAATTACTCTCATCCATACTCTAACTGATTTCATTTGAACTAAATTTAAACATAATATAATGCAATATAAAAAAATTTGTCTAGATAACTAATTGAACAACTGAATATATTCCTGCTTTAAAAAAAAAAAAAAAAACTTCCTTTGGTGCGATTTTGATTAACAATAACTGTTGGGATTGGTTCCTTTGCAAGATGCCGTATGTTGTTTGTGAGCAAAATGCAAAAATCCTCTTCATGGCTTGTATGAACAACGATCATGCGAGAGCATAAATATCCCTACCTTTATCCACTCATGCTATAATTTATCTTTTCCAAATACACAAACATTCAATTTCGTGTTAAATGTATCATCTTTTCGTGTCGTCTGTGTTCCGGTAACATAAAATTTAGACAATGTGAGAACCTTAAATTCAACACTTTTTTTTGTTTTTTTTGGCCAGAGAACCCGTAGGTTTGCACTTATTTAGCAAGTGGTCGTTGATTCATTCAAGTGTCAGATAAAAGATAACCTCGTACTCTGCCGTAAAAATTAACCATGCAAGAGATTTAAACATGTAGTTACGTAAAGTTGAGAGAAAAGGGTGGTAAAGTGGTGTTATTTATTTTCCTTCTCTTTCTATCTCTGCAGTAAATGTGTGGTGTGAAAGGGAACATTGTATTGCATGATGGGAAGAGAGAAAAAAAATAGCATTTATGAGTGGTTGTTCTGAATTAGTCAAAGGCAGCACATGGGTGTGGTAGCATGTGCACCTCTCTATTGTTGGGTGTAGCCTACTAGCTTATAGCTTGGTCCAAACTGCTTAACACCACTTCCACTTCACACTTTATCTTCACCAAAATAAAATAAATATTTACTAAAATAAATAATAAGTTTGAAGATTACTAGTTACAACTTTTATCTTCATATTTTATCACTGTTTATTTGACCATTTATTAATAAATTTTGAACTGTATATACATAGCTTTATTTTTCTTTATTAATGCAACTTAAAATCATTCTTGTAATATGTGATACCTTTTTTTTTTTTTTTGGTTACATGATTGTAAATGATCTGCACATGTTGAGGAGCCCAATCAATTATTTGCTATCTAAATTCTTCTTTTTACCTTTGGGCTCAACATTTAACTCTCCCTTTTTTACAGGCTTATCCTAAAGAACAATAAAATTAGAGGGATTTGCTATTCTTAATCCATATTTTACTAAGTACATCTTTCTTGTATCCCTATTCCTGCGTGCAAACAGAATTATGTTACTTACATACACAATGAAAACATGTTTCCATTTTTTACAAAATATACAGCAAAAATTTGCTTCTTTAGTGCAATTTATTCTATCAATAAATTGCATTATTTAGAGTGATCAAATTGATGATATGTTATATTTTTTATTGAAATAAACTTCATTAGGATATTTAATATTAATTGAATTAAGCATAATACAAATTTAAATTTAAAATAAATTAATTACTATAAAAATGGTATCTATAATATTATTGGAATTAATGATTATACAAACTTATACTTTTTAGTAACCAAGTTAATTATTATAAAAATACAATTTTAATGGTAATCGAATCAATTATGATATTTAAAAGGATAATTTCTATTTTCTGTAATTTCATTTTAATTAAAAAAATTATATAGCAAATTATTATTAAAAATAGTAAGTAGGTTATCATTAAGTACATGGCATGACAATTACTTTGATTTCTCTTTTAAATTTTAACTTCAAAATTAAACTTTCCAAAAAAATAACCTGCATATAAAATTAAATGCAAAAACGAATGTTTTATTATGAATATTATGAATGCTTTTACTATTTATAATTATTATTAGTTATTTATATATATATATATATATATATATACATATATATATATACACATATATATATATATATACATATATATATATACATATATATATATACATATATATATATATATATATATTAAAATTTATTCTACCATAAATAAACATACCATAATAGAAGACATAATCTATACATAAGTAGATGACTATGTCTTCTTTACCTAATTAATGTTTTAATACAAAAGGTATAAAATATAAATTAATTATATTTAAATTATACGTTAACAATTTAATTTTATTATTCAAATAAACACGAATTATTCTATTTACATGAAAAATATATATAGTTATGTAAAATAAATAAAAATATTAATAATAATAATTATTATTATTATTAAAATAAAATTACAAAAAATGTGATGTAATTATGTTGATTATTATATTAATTATTTATTTACAATAATTTAACAATGTAAAATTTATATTAATAATTATAAAAGTTAAATTTGTATAACTATAATGATTAAAATTTTAAGTTTGAATTATGAATAATTTTGTTAAAGAAAAATATTTTAACTAATTATAATTTTTAAATTATGTGAAATTAGTTTTATTATTTATTTGTATTAATATTTTAAAAAAATTATATTCAAATAATTACCATGTTGGAGAAGAATCTGTGATATGAAATAATTTTGCAATATATATTTTAAAACTATAGGAAATTTGAGAATAGAAATTTAAAAGGATAAATTATGGTATTTTTAGTTTTAGTTAAGTTTTGATAAGATTCAAATACAATCTGATATAATTTGAAAAGAATTTAAGTAAAAATTAGAATAAAAATATATTTATTTAATGTTAAAATATTGAAAAAATCAAAATACAAAATTACATATAATTTATATCACAAAAAAAAATATTTTGATTTTATTGATTGAAAGTGTATTTTTTTTTTAAATATGTAAAAAAGAATCAAACTGGTCAATTATTTATAAAAAAATTAAGTTATATATATATATATATATATATATATATATATATATTTAATTGTAGAAAATAATAATATAAAAAGTATCTAATTTATTTATTATAATAATATTTATACCAATAGAAATTTAATTATTGTAGTAAATTGTTTATGTTTTTTTATTAAGAAATCTAGAAAAAGTATGTATAAATATTATATTTTACTAAATATTTAAATTTATTAAAATATATTTTACAATTTAATATTATTTATAATTTTTATAAAAATAATTTATGAAGTATAAACATGTTTGTAAACTAT